TTTTTATTATTAAAATGTAATAACTACTTACTTTAACTTTTTCTAATCAGGAAAGTAACAGAGACGAATACTGAAAAAATCAGAGCAAGTTCGACAAAAAACTCTGAAACTGCTAACGTTTGCGAGAAACACCAACCCACCATAAACCGGCTTGCTCCTGGACCGTCTTCAAAGAAACTTGTCAAAATAAAGCCTGATAAAACGGCAAATGATCAATCTTCGATTCCACCTGATTGGGTTTGTGATGAATGCCAAGATGCTGAAAAGTCCGACAAGATGTCCAAAACAAAAAAGGCTATTGAATTTCTATGCAACAAATCTGGTGGAGGTGGCTGGGTGTTGACCTTCGAGCCTAAGCAAACTTAGTTTTTGCATATACTTCTTGACTAAACTTCAAACATAGTTTACTGTGTTTGATATCTATCTAACTTCTTCTTGGCGCACTTCTTTGCTTCTTTATAAATTACATGAAATGAAAACATGAAAACACTTTGGGAATGGATTGAAATGAAATTTTATTTGTCCTGCTTTAGATCAAAGTAAATGTTTGTAGAATTTATTAGGCAACACCACGCAACAATCACTTTATTTAAGATAAAGAACTTTATAAAATTCATTTTTTCATTTTTTTGTCGTTCGTTGTTTATTACAAAATTGCACAAAATTCAACGTAATCATTTTAGAAACAAAAAATTCAGTGTTTGTCACCAAAATCTCACAACATTTTTTCTCTTTCAAGATGATATTTTCTAGCATGGTCGTTTTTGCCGCTTACTTTAGCAACACAATCCTCGTCCCTTGTATTTGTGCTCCACATCAGGTGGACTGGTCAAAATGTAAGCGCAGTGATCGATTCAGTCCTTCCTAACCTCACTACCCTTTCAGTCAACCCAAATCACCAGAAAGAGCTAGAAAGCATGGTTAAGCTCTTTGGCGGCCGTGGATACTCCATTGATGATTACTACCTTGCCTTCAAGGACATAAGACAGGCCCTTTACACTGTCCGCCCAGAGGCAAAGGATATCTTCTTTCAACAGGTAGTCTTTCTACTTCAGCAATTCGACAGTGCCAGTGAGTTGAGGATTGATTTGGGCCAGGTGGAGAAGTACATTCGCCGACTGAACCTTCTCGGAGAGGGCGAAACTATCAACGACATGACCAAGACAATAACAGCCGAAATGCCACCGACAAACGTGTATCTCACCCTCAACATTGGCCCTGTTTCAGGAAAGATCTCAAAGTCAGTCGTTTTAAAAAGCCTGATTGTAGGCTTTTTGAACAAAGATTTAGAGGAAAAGGACAATCCTAAAGGCACTAATCTAAAAACACCAGAAATGTCGAGATACTTCTTTATGTTGGCCTTTGCTCCTCGTTTGATGGCTGCATATCGTTTTGCCTATCCGCATGAATTTAAGGATGCTGTTAAGAAGGTGATGGGAGCTGAAGCGGTTCCCTTAACTATTCACACAAAAAAGGTGAACATTGTGATGCCGACAAAGAAAGCAACAGTGGTGGTGGTTGATCCAGCGCCCAAGTCAAAAAATAAGTGTAGCAAAGGTAAAACAATGATTTCACTTTTAAACTGTTTAACTTTCTTTGGTATTTCCTTGAAGCACTCAGCTGCATAGCGGGCAGCAGTGGCACCCTTCTCCTTGGTCTCCTTGCTTCTTACCTAATGTATTCGTCTCCAAATGTGACAAGCAGTGAGATGCTCACCAGAACAACGGTAGACCCGTTTTTCGTCAATCCAGCTGACAGCAATAGTCATTTTTTTGTGCTGTACTACTTTGTCATTGCCTTTCTGTGCATTGCCATTGTTGGCGGCGTTGTCTTCTACTACTACACCTACTGCATTGATGACGGCAAAGATGAGGATGGTGGTGAAGGGCAAAGTGGTCGAGATGGCAGTCGATTGAGTAAGAAGTACCCAGTCAAATCAACCACTGCAGGCAAGCAAAAGTCTACCCCTTCAACCAAGGGGAAATCCTCAAAAGTGCCTACTCCAAACACTACCACCGCCAACACTGGACCCAGCAGCTAGGCAGACCCCTTTTCTGGTACACTTCAAAAACTGCAAAACTCTGTTTGAATTTACTTGTAATCCAGTTCAGCACTGGTTTTGCTTGTTTAATAAAATCTTTAATTGACTTTCCCAAAAAGACCAAAAGACGCTAACGCTCTTGTCTTCTCTATTTTCGCGTAATTTTTACGCAATTACTGCTAAACAATCAAAAGAAAAATGAACACCGGTCACAACAAAGCCTCCACTCCCATTATAAAAGTGTTTTCATTTTCTATTTCTAACTTAAACACTTAATAGAATTTGAACTGAAAAAAATGCCTCGAATGGACCCGGCACCACACCCTGTTCTGTATTTGGTCTTTCTTTCCCTGTACGCCTTCAGCCTCACCACCGTGACTGCTTCTCTCCTCTACGACATCTTCCAGCTCGTTCAACTGGTCAGCACCTCTCTGACAGCCACCGCTGGGAAGGCGGAGAGATCAGCAAGGAACTGGCTGACCACAGGAAGTGATGCAGAGATCTCCACTTGTTTAGTCGTCTGGGAGACACTCAGGGGGTAAGGTGCTGGGGGAGGGGGAATTGGAAAACATGTGACAATCCTTTCTTTTTAACGGGGTTTTTCTTCCCTTCAAGTATCATCAAATTCGCCATCCTCAGCAATGCCCTCACTGACATTCGCTATCTGACCATCTTTCTCTTCCTCTATCTACTCTGCCTTCTAGGCACACTTCGCAGTGGACCGGACGAACTTCGATGGCACCTGTACAGTGGCGAGGCCTTTCCCGAACGAGCCGACCACAGCAAGGCTTTCACCAGGCAGCTGCTAGATTTCAAAACCATTGTTGAGTGGATGACTTTTATTTCGGGCTCCCTCGTCGCTGGTGAATACATCTACAACAACTCCGGGGCTTTGACAATGTTTTCACTTGCTTATGGAGGAGAAGGTCGAGACGATGAAAACTGAACTCATTCTGCTTTTTACTTCTTTAAATCTGTAACCAATGAAACTTGTAGCCAATAAATAATGTGCTATATATTGTCGTTTGAGAGAATGAGACCGCCTGTCATTAAGTTTTCAAGGTAAGCTTTGTTGATTGCCTCTCCGAGTTGTGACCACTTTAAAATGCGCCTCTCTTTTTCTCATCACCTAGGCAAACATCGATTTTGTACGGCCAAACTACGGTGTTTCTTTCTTCTGTTGGCTGTGCTGAACAATTCTACAGTTTTGCTTGGCAGCCCATTACTGGCAGCCCGCACTTGCAGACCGACGATGATCAGCTCTGTGGCCATTCTCGAGTTGGCCAACTCTCTGCTGGACAGCATCCAGTCGTTGTACCTCTCCCATCCTCGGACCCTCTTTGCGGTGATCATCTTTGCGCTGTACCTGCTGTACTACCTGAACAATGCCGTCAAGCAGCCGCTGCTTTTCTGTGCTGACGGGCGATTTCGCTGGTTCCTGGTGGCCAATTGTGAGACACTCAGTCAGTACTACTGGCCTACCATTTGGTGCTACGAGACACACCTCCTCACACCCATTGCCACCTTCATCCGAGGACTGCTTCCCAAGTTGAAGTACCATCGTGAGTACGTTCGAACCTTTGACAACGGCCAGATCAGTCTAGACTGGTACGACCCGGAGGCGACCGAAGCTTTGTGCTCCGCGCCAGGCGGAATGTGCGGCTCTCCCCAACATAGCAACTTTGATGCACCGATTGCCATTTTTATGCCCGGTCTCACCGGAGACAGTCAGGCTGAGTACATCAAAACAATGGTTCCCATTGCTGCTGCAAAAGGCTTCAGGGTTTGTACAATCAACTACCGTGGTCTGGGCAATACCCGTCTACTGACGCCGTAAGTAATCTAGTTAATTGAAATAGTTTTTGCCCTTTTTTGACTTTTCTTTCAGACGATTATACTGTGCGGCAAACGACGAGGACCTGCGCGCAGCCTTGCTGCACATTCGCGCCATGAATCCTCAGAATAAGATTGTCGCAGTCGGCGTTTCACTGGGCGGCATAATCATTGCGCGCTACCTTATCAGCACTGGCATGGCGGCGCTCATCGACGCCAGCTTTCTCATCTCAGTGGTGTGGAATTTTAAGGACGTCGCCGAGCAGATGGAGAAGGGTTTAAATTACCCGCTAACCAAGCTTCTGACGAATGCCCTCATTAGTATCGTCGATGAGCATCAGCACTGGTTTGAGGGTCGAGTTGATCTAGAGGCAGTCAGAAGGGCAAGAAGCATCACTGAGTTCGATTCAGCTTTCACATGTCCCATATACAACTTCAAGAGCCCTGGGGAGTACTACAAAGAGGCCAGTCACAAGGGCAAAATTGCCGCCATAAAGGTGCCAACCTTCTGCATCAATGCGGCGGATGACATGTTTGCGCCAGGAGACAGTGAGTTACTCTGAGATACTCTGATACTCTGTTTCTAGCAGTTCAGTTTTCTAAATGCCCACTTTTTAGCCTTGCCAGTTGACGAAGTGGCCGAGAGTTCGCACGTGGCGATGCTGGTCACTGCTCGAGGTGGCCACATCGGCTTCATGGAGGGCCTCACCGGACACATCGGTCGTCGACCCTTTCCCGGCTATTCGGAGCGAATCCTTGATCAGTACCTCGGAGCATTGTGCAGACTGGACAACTGGAAGGTCATCAACTGACCGGGTGAAGATGATGGTAATACACTCTCACGATGGTAATTTATAACATGAAATAAAATTAAAGGTTCACATGTGATTGATTTTTTATCGGGTGCACAATCGCGCTGATTTTTGAATGAAGTGCAATGCGGCGTGCTCACAGACGCTGTGTCAGCACTGGTCCAGCAGTTTGTTTACAAATGAAAGCCCCCCTGCAGCTGACACAAAGTGAGAGAGAGGAGTTTGGAAGGCCTGAGAAAAGACTGCACTGGTGATGGCCTACTGGTGCTAGTATTGTTAGTATGTGAAACTCCAGTCACTTCTTCAATGCTGATCACGGATTGTCGCAGATAATGTTGAACCTCTTTGCCCATCGACAGCTTCTCGAACTGACACCCAATACCATCACCACCACCACAACCACCAGTAATCATCACCAGGATAATTCGCCTTTAGTTAAGCTTGCTGTCTTTGGAGTTCTCTCGCCGAGCCTAAGAGAAAATGCCGCCGTCCACTCCCGTCTGGTACTCTACTGTGATGATGGAAGACTGCTGCTGGTGCAGTTCACCACCACCACCACCACCGACAGTCCGCAGCAGCTGTGGATACCGACGGACAGTGCCAAAGGACCAATCATCTGCATGGTCCTCAACGCAAACGCAACAGCACTTCTTGCTCTTACTAGTCAATCCTACCTGTACGTGATACCCTTTAACTTTACTCTGGAAAGAGACGATGATTCACCATTCATTCGACCGGTGCTTCAGGAGGATGCTCGAGTTTTTCGGTGCTTGGCACTTCGAAGTCCGACCTCGCTCGTCTGGTGGCAGCGACCACACGCCCAGAGGCAGGCAAGCATTGCTCTTGTTGGCAACAGTTTTGGCCAGCTGGTGTTTATCGACTTGGAAACATCCATTGAATTCAAACTGTTCACCTTCCCTTTTGGCATCGATCGACTTTCAATTTTCGAAGAACTCTACTGTCAGACGTTGCTGATCAGCTGTAGCAATAAGATGCAGTACCAGCTAACCCTAGAGCAGTTTCGCACAGTAATCAACAAATTAAACAGAAAAAATAGCACTACTTCGACAACCAGCTCTGGCAGCTATCTGATGGCCTGTGTGATGAACTTTGGCGGCGTTGGTTTTGAGGATGACAAAGAAATGGGCCTCGATTCAATGTCGTCTGTGTTGGATTCAAATGACATCAAGTAAGTGATTGTAATTACAGTTTAATGCATTTTTTAAATGTATCTTTCACTTTTAGGCCGCAGCTGATTAGCATTAACGAGGACAGCATCTCACCAGCATCTACTGTTACATCAGGCAATCAATCAGAATTTTTCGATCTTCTTGAAGACTCACTTAAGATGTCCATTCACCCGCAAAGACACACGCGAAGCGTGTTTGTAGTTAAGCAAAATCGTCCAAAGTACGATTTTGCCAACATCAGCAATAACTCTCGAGGTGAAGAGGCCGCACTATCTGATTCTTCTGACATCTCAGCTACCTTTTGTTCAGTGGCTGTCTGCCGTGATCTTTCCCTTGATGTGCACGAATTTCGAGCCGAAGACTTCTGCACTAAGACAATCATTCTCAAAGACTCGAAGCTGTTTCTAGTGTCAATGGACGCAGATGAGCCTCCGAGAAGTGTGCCTCCTTCTTCGCCTGCCGCCCATCACCAAATGCTGAAAATCATTGATGCTGGTCATCGATTCTTTTTGCTCGTCTACCCGACACGAATAGCTTTGGTGTCCAAGTATTTTGCAGAAGCAAGGCAGCCATATTCGGCTTCCTCACCACGCAGTCCACTGTTGCTAAAGAAATCTGATTCGTTGAGAAGCTCAGGAGGTGGTAGTTTTAGAAGAAAGAACATCCATTCAAATTCAGGTGGAGGCTTTGGCGGTTCTACTTCTGGCACTACCGTTCTGGAAGAATTCAAGGCGACCTCTGACTTTAATGATGAAGCAATAGTGGATGTGTTTCTGGTATCGACGCCAACGACAGGCGAACCAGACCTAAGTGCACTGGTGCATCGAGACTACCCACTGCCAAGTGGCTCTTCTGCGGGCGGCTCTATGACATTGGTCGATTTAGAGGCGATTAGCCGCACAGAGAAGGCAGCCATTGAGACAAAGCTGTCGCCAAAAATTGGTGAACTGATTCGCATTGAAGAGAAGTGGATTGTCGTCACCAAAAGACGGTGCTTCGAGGTGGCTGCAAAAGAAACTGATTTTGGCAGGTACACTGGAGTTATATTGCAGCAATTTTACGCCTCATTTAACCTGTCAATTTTATTCTTCCTTAGGTACTTTCACCGCGAAGTAATTCAGCTGTTGGAGCTGGTGGACGAGCCCGGCGACTCTGGCGCTGTTGACGGCGATGTGATCACCCGTGCAAAGTACCTGGTCGACGCCTTTGTCTATCGGGTCTGCCGCTTTGGCGGCCCAGCGGCGGGGGCCTTTTCTAGTCATCCCGTTCAGTCGTGGCAGTTTTGGCTGACACGGTCTGCACTGCTGCTCATGGAATCGCTGACCAAGTCACTGCCCGTCGGTGAGGAGCCGCCTGCGACGGAGGCCACTGAGGCCAAGTTCAGTCAAATCTTTCGGCTGTTTGAGTTGGCGAGAACGCCTCGCAGACGAGTCATCACCGCGCTCACCTACTTTCGCTTTTGGGCGCGGGCGCTCTTTTACTGTCGCAAGTTCTTTGAGAGTAGAGTGTTGCAAGAGCTGACTGATGAGGAGCGCCTCTACCTGGCCCACCAGATGCTCGACTGTCTGCTGGAGAGATATCGACGAGCAGTGGCACTGACGAGCACTGAAGGCGGCGGCGGCGGTGGTGAGAGGGCGAACATTGCCAAAAAAGAGGCATATGAGGAGTTGGTTGCCTTTTTCAGGTCCTATCGAACTTACTTTGACGTCGGTCGAACGCTGGAGAGACTGCTCGACTGTGGACTGTGGTCAATGGCCAGGCAAGTGGCTGTGGCACAGTCCGAGTACCTCACACTGCTGCACCTTCTATTGAAGTAAGTCTGCTTTAATTTTTTTGGTTGTTATTGTAGTAGGTACTAACATGAAGTTATTTATCATAGGAAATTCGCGCCCAATTTTGAAACACTGCCAAAGGAGACTCGATCTTCTGTTCTCGATCTGCTCACCTCACATCGCCTCACATACACACTCATCCTCAGCACTCGTTTTCAGCTGTCAGCTGTTATGGACAGCGTCTCACCTCCTTTCCCGTCCCCTCCTTCATCGCCATCGCCTACCTCTACCTCAATTCGCCTCGTCGAACAGTACCTCGACTTTGTCATCAAAGCACTGCCAAACTGCAGTTCAACAGAACTGTATCGACTTGCTGCTGTGCTCGATCCAAATCGCTTTGAAATGCAGCTACTGCTGAACAATGTTCTGGAGATGGCAAACCAAACGTACTTGAGAGGAGACAGTGCCCCACAGGTGATCGATTCGTATTTGCCCATTCGCAAGCGAGACCTCCTTCACTTGTACATCTTTGTACTGCTGCTTTGCATGCGAAAGGCGCATCACCACCTGCGAAAGTCAGGTCAGCCTGCTCGACTCTATGACTGGAACTTTCTTGGCAATGTGAAGAGCGGTTTTGAGGACTTTAAGTGCGCACAGGGGCACTCTCTGAAAGTGGACACTGAAGAGGACTCGGTGTTCTGCGTCTCCGCTGGCACCTTTCACTCGGCCGCTTTTGAGAGTAGTCGCTCCAACTTGCTGTACATCTGGGGACGATTTCCATACGTGAAAGAAGCCGGAGGAGCAAGTTTATTGACGAGACACCTGCGAACACCACATCGAATGAACTTTTTCAGCACGCTACTCCCTCGGATAATTATTAGAGAGGTGGCCTGCGGACACCAGCATTCGCTCATTCTCACCGACGCCGGCCTCTTTGCTTTAGGAAGCTCAGCTTTTGGGCAGCTAGGCCTGGGCGGGGAGGTGCTAGAAGCAAAGTACCCAATGACTGTTGCCTGCTTTCAGCCGGGAAGTAACGTCAAGGTGGTGAAAATTGCTGCCGGAAGTTACCATTCACTGGCTATCAGCGAGGAGGGACAGTTGTGGAGTTGGGGGTACGCAATTCACGGGCAGCTAGGACATGGCATCATTGAGGACGAACGCACACCGAGGAGGGTCGACTACTGGGACTACAGCACTGTGAAGGTGGTCAGTGTGGCAGCTGGTTATGCCCACACCATTGGTATGTCTGGGAACGGTCATTTGGTTCGGTGCTTACTAATTGGCCTTGTTGTTTTCCAGTGCTCACCAATACCGGCGACGTGTACGTCTTTGGCGAAAACAGCTACAATCAGCTGGGCATCGAGATGAGTGAGGAGCATACGCCGGGAAGTAAAGCCAAGTTTGCCCTTCCACAGCAGCTGTCACTGGGACCAAAATTGCCGGGAAGGGTGAAACTGGTTGCCTGTGGTCTCTTTCACACGATAGCCCTTGTGACGACTGGACTGGAGAGCACCACTACCACTGAGCGGCTTTTTTGCTGGGGCCTCGACCCAAAGACGTGGCGGGTGAAGATGCGAGCTGACCGATCAGCGGGCTCCAAGGGCTCCTCGATGAGCACACCAGTGACCAACCCTGCTACGACCACCGTTGCGGGACAGCAGGCGGCAGTGTACGAATACGCAAAGGTGCGCGAAATCAGCCTGGAGAAGGTCAGCGGAAGAGTGTCCAAAATCGTGGCCGGTCAGTCGCACAGCATACTGCTCACTGACGAAGGCCGCTGCTACACTTTCGGCTACGGAAGGGAAGGTCAACTGGGCCTAGGCTCGGGAATTCCCAGCTGTCCACTGGTGGCCGAGCCGATACTGGAGCTGGAGGCCATTGTCGATGTGGCCGCAGGGGCAGCCCACTCACTGGCAGTGAACACCGAGGGCACGGTCTGGGGCTGGGGGCAGAATGCCGACTTTCAACTGGATGGCTGCCAGCCGGGGGCCATTTTGGACACGGGGAATGGAGGCGGCGGTAACCGGCGGAACTCACTGCTGAACAGTCTGATGAAGCGGGGCGACGATCAGCTGATGAGCCGACTGATGAGTCTGCAGAAGAATGTGGAGTGGACGCCGATGCGGGTGCAGGTGCCACTGCTGGGCACATCGAAGAGTAAAGGAAAGGGCAGTATAGCGTCATCCCCTATGCCCGAGCCAATCGAAGTGTCTGATCAGATTGCCCGAAGGTGCTTCACCACTAAAAACCGAGCCGTGATGATTAAGCAGCAGCTAATGGAGTGTCTCGTCAGATATCGACACTTGCTCGACTTTAGGTCCATGCTAAAGAGGTAACGGAAACCTGGTAGTAACAGTTTGCTCTAATTCAAGTGATTCTTTCTTCCTCTGCAGATTTACCCAATTTGACTATCCTCAGCTGTCTGCAGTGGTGTCTCACTTTCTAAATGACCCAATTGCCACTTATCTGCACCAGTTGGCTGCACTCAAACAGGAGATTCAAGTAGAACTGAACTCACTGCCTGAGGATGATCTTGACAAGACCACTGAAGCTCTGCTGAGCAAGTGCACCCAAGAAGTTTGCTTACTGACGACATTTTTTGCAAATCGCAATCCGAGAGTAGCCGCGGCTGACGTTTTTCATCTAGTCAACGGACTAGTGAAGTTTGCCGAAGAAGTGGCGGAGATGTTGAGTGATCCAAAGTTCGCCGCTGTACTGCAATTGTGGTCTTTGAAGGAAATTTTAAAACGGCTGTACTTGGAAGAAGACAACTGGCCAATTAGAAGTGCATACTTCGGTATGGCTTTCTTCAAGGTTTTACAAGAACGTGAACAAGTGGACGAACAGTTTCGACAAAGGTGGAGCCTAGGTGATGAACTGTTGATGAGATTGATTGGGCGCACGCAAGAATCCCTCAAGGAGTGTCCCTCGGAGATGGTCACAGTTCAGCAACTTGTTGAGGAGTTAGTTGATGCGAAGGATCTGCGATCGGGAGACGCAGAAGAAGAGAAACTGTTGCAGTTTCCACTGGAGCTCGCCTGGAGGAAGATCATGCAGCAGTTTGCACTGGGGCAAAGTTGTCCAACACCACAGAAGAGTGCTGATCTAAACGAGTCAGATGAAATTGAATTTGAACTGCCTTCAGATGAAGAAGATGATGAGGATGTTGTCAACTTTACTGAAGACAAGGAAAATTACCCCTTTCTTCTGTACGTCTTTGCCTGCGGTCATGGCCTATCTCGAAAACAGCTGGCAAAGCACCCACTACCCAAAGATCCTGACTACAGTGAGGCAATTGAAAAGTTGCTGATTGACGGAAATGTAAACACCATCATTGACCTCCTCTGTCCGAACTGCCACTCACATTGACCTTAAAACACATATAGTAATTTAATGTTTGATCATCAAATCTCCCAGCAACTACCACTGATACCAGGATACTGTATCCAGTCAGCCTTAAAGACACTACCTCCATATTATAGCTCAAACTTTTGTTTGCTTTACATTTACAGAGCCCAATGTGTGTGTTGCCTATACAGTTTAGACCCGTCTAACTAGTCCTTTTTGTTAAACTTGTTGCCAATCTTCTTGTTTTATTTGTCTTGTCGTCTATCACTGTTGTTCACATTATTAAAATGAAGCGTAATTTCTAGTATTACACAACCGAGAGTCCTTCACCTTTTGAAGCCCAGTCCTTGTCGACTGTCTCGCACTTCAATGTCAATCGGCTCCGTGCTGGCCTCTGATGTGGCTCCCAAGCCTTGACCCGATTTCCAGCCCATCTTTTCCATCATTTTGAAGCCCTTGTTTGTCGATTTGATCGGTCTAAAATGAAAAAGTGTGAATGTGATGAAAGTGCCAAGCTAAAAAAATACAAACTACTTACACATCCAGCGCCGAGCCAGCAGCTGTCTTCTCGTACGGATTATCACTGCCCATCTCTCGTTGACGCTGAGCGGCTCTATCTCGGTAGCCAGGCGGCAACTCGGGTCCAATGTTCTCTCGGTACTCCTCACCGGCAAGACCATAATGCCGTTTGAGGCTCTTCTGAAGCTGGCGAACTGAAGAGGTGCCCCCTTCCGTTTGGTAGATGCCTGTCGTCTTCTTGGTGTCCACCAACGAGGCCTCACAGTCCGCACAGGTGGTGTCTCGGTGTTGGTGAATGTGTGCCAGCATCTGGACAGTGTCGCTGAAGCGGAGAATGTCGCCGTGGAAGAGGGCATTCCGACAGAGTGGCTTCAGTTTGCTGTCATTGACAAAGGTGCCGTTTCGCGAACACAGGTCTGTAATGACGTACTGCTGCAGCTGGTGGTCGTACGTGATTTCCGCATGTAGCTGCGATATGGTCGAGTCGGGAATGGTGACGGCACAGTTCGGGTGCTGTCCTATCTTCCCTCCCATGCAGCTGACCAGAAGGAGGCTGCCAATGTCGAGCTGGTCGGCAGACTGGACGATTAGGCGGACGGGGGCAATTTTGTTGAATGAAGATCGATTCAGTCGCCTAGCAGGTGGTCGCTCCTCCAGCGCAGTCTTGCGAAGCACTGCCTTAGATTCAATAATGTGATTGCGGGTTTTATGTTCAGGAGAAAGTGAACCGTCTGAAACTTCGATTATCTCACCCTCCTCTTCAGAACTAGAACTAATCATCTCCACATCAACGTCTGCCGCCGTTTGACTTGTCTTCTTAGTGCTTTCACTTTTGTCGGCCTTTTGTTTATCACCGATTTTGTAGAGAAACTGATATTCTTTAGTGGTCAAATCGTAGCGGTAATAACTTTGATTTGCCGGATTGTAAAATGCTGAACTTTCCTGATAGTAATACCAGCCAGTGCTGCGACTGTAGTAAGTTTTGCTAACGGCATCGTATTCGTAGTCGGCGTTGGCGGTTTTGATGTCATTCAGGAAGCTGTCCAGGTCTGACTTTTTGTCAGAACTTGTGATTGCATCTAACATAGTGCACTTGGAGAACACCTGATTGTTGACCTCATTCTTGGGAATGTGAATGTCCGTTTGAACGGCTGCAGACGAGAAGAGGTAATTTTTGGCCAAGTTCAGTTTGGCGTTCATCAGCTTCACTTGATCTCGTAAATCAGAATTGTAGGAAGTCAGAGATTGGTTTTCCTTCTCAAGACGATTAAACTTTTGCTGTAGTGTCCTCTGATCAGATATAATCTCTTCTGACGACGTTTCCTCGTGCTTTTCATCCATCCTCTTGCCTTGCTTTGCCTGTAAAGAAGAAGAAGAAACACAACAAAAGATCAGTTGTTGATATGTACTGTAGCGCAGTCTTAGGTTGCGCCATCATGGGTTTGCTTTCTGGTTTCAAGTTGTACTCGTGTGGATCCTTTGTAGTTTTTAAAATCGATAAAGCTGGTTTGGGGGGTCTTGTGATTCGGGATTTTCGGTTTCAAGATTTTGCTTCAGAACTCACCTGAGCACTGAGCTCTCTTTCCGGCAATATTGTCCGCTGCGAATGTAAACACATGCTGGGAAACTTTCTTCTTGGCGGCTTTAACTTTTTTTTTGCGTGCAACTTGTGTGCCAAACATCGTCTGTTTATCAAAGAGGAATCACTGGTGCGAGGTAAAGTTACCTCGCGTTGTAGTGGTAAGTTGTGGTAAGTGCAGTACTCCGATTGTCTTCTTGTTGTCTTTTGAGGAGGCTGTCCTCCTGGACATCTGTACCAAGAGCTGTCAATGCTCGTCTGTGATATCTGATCGTCGGCTTCCACGGTGGCTTCAACTGCACTTCTAAGACTGCATCATCACTTCATTCAAGCTTAGACAATCACTTTTTCACCAACTATGGCTCTGAAGGGCGTTAAAGTTTTGGAGCTTGTTGGTCTTGCACCAGTGCCCTTTTGCGGCCAAATTTTGCGAGACTTTGGAGCCAAAGTGCTTCGTGTCGACAACATACTAAATGTAAGCTACTGAAATCTGTATTTTACCTTTGTTTTTAATTTCCCTATTGTTGACATCTTTAGCCTGTAAGCAGTCATCTTCAAATGTTCACTGCTGGAAAAGATACGGTGAAATTGAATCTTAAATCACCTTCCGGTGTGAAAATTCTCCACCAGTTGGTCGGCGAACAGCACACTGATGTGTTTCTTGATCCCTTTCGACCGGGGGTACTTGAGCGCCTGGACTTGGGTCCTGAGAAGTTAACAAAACTGAATCCAAAGCTAGTTTACGCAAGAATTAGCGCTTTCGGTCAAACAGGGCCACTGAAAGCATCTGCCGGTCATGACATTAATTTCGTTGCGCTAAGTGGTGCCCTCAGTCGAATCGGGCCGCCCGGAAAGCCGCCAATTCCCCCGATTAACTTACTAGCCGACTTTGCCGGTGGATCAGTGCTCTGTGCCCTGGGCATCATGATGGCGCTGTTTGAGCGAAATAAAAGTGGCCTTGGTCAGGTGATTGACCACTCTATGACCGAAGGGACCGCCTATCTGAGTACCTTTCTCTGGGAGACCTATCAAAGACAGCCGGAGTTGTTTTGGCCCAACTTTCCGCAACGAGGTATCTGATTGAGGATTTAATTTTATTGACTGATACAACTTTTAATTTGCTTGTTCAGCTTCAAACATGCTCGATGGCGGTGCTCCGTGGTATCGTTGTTATGAGACTTCCGATGCAAAGTACATGGCCGTCGGTGCACTCGAGGAGAAGTTTTATCAGCGATTTCTTGAAGCGATAGGCTTTGAGGATCCCAGTGATGAGTTTCACCAATTTGGCATAGAGAAGTGGCCTCAGTTTACCGAAAAGATTGCCGCCATCATGAAGACCAAGACACGAGACCAGTGGACGGAGATCTTCACTGAAGTGGACGCCTGTGTAACACCGGTGCTGGAGATTACCGAAACGGCGCAGGCGAAGCTGCACCGCTCGCGAAACGCCTTCAACGCCCAAAGTGGAGTGCCCAATCCGGCGCCAAAGCTGTCGAGAACGCCTGCTGAGCGGCCACCGGTAGTTGCCACTGAGACGGTGACTAGAACAGTTCTCACTGAGCTGGGCTACAGCGCAGAGTCTATTCAAAGTCTGATGGATGAAGGTGTGGTGGACGATCCAGATGCTGAAGACTAAAAAGAGCTAGGTAAGTTTACAGCTTAGAAGTTGCACACAGTACCAGCTTTGAAAGTGTTGTAGTTCTGTTGTCTAGTTCATTACCAGGCATGATCTGCTTTTATTGACATTAGTAAATGCGTTTAGTGAACCTTCTTTATTTAGATGAATAAATGAACAAAATATGAAAGCTGTTAGGCTGTGTATTGCTGATTGATTCGAGTTATGGCGTTTTGCCGTCAAGTGAGGTGGGCGACGCCGTGCGACTGATAGCACTCTGCGGAGACGATCCTCGCCTTGCGCTGCCCCTCACCTGACGCCTCGTATTGCACCGTAAAGGTGCTGACCGAGGTGTTTGGCGTGCGCATCGTCTGCTCGGCAGGAGCTTTGCTCGAGGCTGCCATCGAGGCTTTCGGTCTGAATGACTCAAAGTAGGCGAGCACCTCACTGATGACCACGGCGTGGGTGACAATGAGCACGTTCAGGACGGAGGGAGAGGGCGAGGGCGAGGGTGATGACGAGGGGGATTCCTGTCCCTGGTCAGTTTGGTGCAGCACCTCGGGCAGGAGACGGTGCTGGAGAAACTCGAGCACCCGTTGCTGCACTTCTATGCTGCTCTCACCGCCGAGGGGGGTAAAGTCGGTGACGGTTTTGCCGGCGCCCTGACCCAGCGCCTCAAAGAGCAGCCGATCGACTGGTTTGCCCTCCAGGTCGCCAAAGTTTCTGGCTCGAAGTCGTGCATCCTCTCGGATGGTGGTGCTGTCCCTGCACAGGTAGCTGCCCGGTGACTTGTTCAGCAGAATGTGCGCTGTCTGGTAGGCTCGCGACAGATCGGAGCTGTAGATGAGCTGAAACTCCTCAATGGGAAAGGTAGCCGCCAGGGAAAGTGCCTGTGAGTGTGTTCAGCAATTAAAACTGAAGTCCTCTCGCAGAGTCACTTGTCCTTTCTATTACCTGATTGATGCCGCATTCGTTTAGGTGAGTGTTCATCTGCCCTTGAATTGTCGAGGCAGCATTCTCGTCCGTTTCTCCGCTAAGTGAAAAAGTGTTAAATTGCTCGTTGAATGTGGTTTGATGGTGGTAAAAGAACTTACTGGCGAATGAGGGTGACGGTGAACGACTTGCTGGGGGCAGTGGCCGCTGTCGTGCCTGTGTTCAGCTCGGTCTGCTTAAACTGCTGCACCATGTTGCTTCTCTAGTTGTTCCGTGTGATGATCACCTAGATTCAGCAGTGTGTTTGTCGGTGGATTTGCTGGCTCTTCTTTGCCTTCCCTCTCTGCGAATCACCAACTTTATACCTCGGCTTTATCAATGTGGTCGTCGGAGTCTGGTGCAGTGCGAGCAAGCAGTGGCTAATTAAATATTGATTGTACACTACCACTGGCAAACAGAATGATCAATCTCACTCTCGCGATCTCCACTGATACAGTATCTGGCCGCATCATTGCATTGACGTTCGCTCGGTCGCCTGCCTGCACAGCCAAAGTGACCGGTCGCAGGCGGTTAGGTGTGTTTTGATTGGCAGTTGTGGTTGTGGTGGTGGTGGTGACTCGCTTGTTATGGTTGGTGGTGATGCCGTGACCATCCCTCCATATCTGGCCACACTGTACACAGAAGCTGCATGTACAGTCAACTCATAATCATATTCTCTCTGTTGACTCTTTTTGGATGACATCAACATCCGCTCATTTACAGAGATGCCAATGCCTCATTGCATGTTTGACTGTTTCTCCATTCCTCTATCTGTTTTTCTTTCCCTATCAGCACTAGACGCTAATTGACGTTTGTAGGTGTGCTATTTTTAGGTCATCACCACCACAAACCACCTCTCAATTGGCTTGGTCCTACGTGGCTTTGTGCCGCGGCTACAGACTACACTCATCTTACTGTCCATCTGAAGTGAGTCTTGAGATACTGACTGTGGATTATCTGCGTTCTTGCTTTCTTACTACGCATACCCTTATCTCATTTGCGCAAATAGTCTCTTTTTGCTGCCAGTGGCTTGTCTCGCTATCGGACTTTCCAGGGGACCAACAGCACTAATCATTATCAAAATGGTGACAACATTTCGAGTGAACAAAAAGTGATTGTATTGCAAAAGCTGAGAATAATCTCAGCTTACTGATTTACAGTACAGCACTACCAATGCTTGAAAGAATGCCGTGCTTGCGTTTGCATGTCATCATTTAGGTGGGACAGGTCGTGCAGACAAAGCACACTCACGTCGGTGATCTTCTGCTCTCCATCGATGTGCACTTTAAATACGCTGACCGAAGTGTTGGGAGGGATGTCATTTTTCGGATCTATCTCAGCCTCATGTGGTTGCTGGCAGTAATCGAGCAGGTACTTGATCATCTCACGAATCGTCACACCGTGGCTGACCACGAGCACCTTAGAGGCGTTCACCGATTCAGGCAGCAGCCGCTTCTCAATAAAGTCGTACAGGCGCTGTTGAAGGTCCTGCAGCGACTCACCATTCTCGGGCACGTGATCATCCGGACTGACACCGGCCTCTTTGCACTGTTCTCTGAAGAGACTTCCGTGTTTGCCGTCCAGTGAGCCGAGTGTTCGCTCTCGCAGTCGTGCGTCAAAGTGAATGGTCTGCCGAGATGGGTCGCCCCCGTGGAGGACAATCTCCTCTGCGGTCATGTACGCCCTGCTCAGGTCGGAGCTGAAGATGAGCGAGAAGTCCTGCACTGGAAGGGCGACCCCAAGGGCACGAGCCTGTTGAATGCCCGTCGAGTTGAGCTTCGTGTTGGTGTGCCCTTGGATGATGCCCAGGCTGTTCGCCTCGGTGCGACCACTGTGGAGAGAATTAAAGAGAATTTACAGCTGCATCTTTCATCTACCTATGAACTTACTGGCGGACTAGAGCGACTGTAAAGCAGTGGCTCATTTTCACAGCTGTGCACTACTGATCACCTCGGTAAACTACTGTGTACGACTGGTGTGCATTTATATGAAGCACCGCTGGCAGAACGTCTCTTCGGCGATTACGACCACCTTGATTGCTCGCTGCACTGCTGCATTGCAAAGACAACATGTGATTGCGGGTGAAAGACGTTTGATAAACGTTGCGATAAATGACGGTGAATGAGTGCATATAAATGATCAAACTGATCAAAGTAAAACTAGTTTACTTTTTTATTTTGGTTTTCACTTTTAATTTTTACATTTTTGTACTTTTTGCATTTCAGATATACGTTTACCTACATATGGGTACACCTACCCGTTTCGAGTTTTAGAGTTTTAATCAAATCCAGTTTTGTTTGCTGTGCTCCATTTAACTTGTAAAAACTGAATTGTGTTTTTGTTTATTCTTTTCTAGTGACTAATGCATTTTCTTTTTAGGTACTTGGACTATTACTTTGATCAAAAAGAGATTTTGAACGATGTGCTTTTAAAACGTCTAAAACATCTATAAACCCCATCGAGTTTTATGCTTTTGTAAAAATGTTCAGTGAATGAGATGGAAAAGTCAGCTTAGTCGAAAGCCTAGTTTCATTGACACAGCACCTCAGTAAAGTAAAATGGTTTCATAACTCTCTGTAATTACTATTTTGTACAGTAGTCGCAAACATTTTTTCCCTTGTTAGCTAATTTTTTATTTTAATAAACTTGTGTTGATGATATACCAGATTAGACTAGGTTAAAGATTAGACCGTTGTGATTTATATGTGCATTTAAATTGGATTGCACGAATCTTTGATGGTGATCTTCATTGTTCAGTGTTGTTTGAGGAGTTCGTGCCACTGACCAGCCATCACTGACCATCTTCACTCTGCTAATCGCCACTTCAATCCTTACTATTTACCACTGTTTTGTGGTTTATGCCACAATTAATGTAATCATCGTTGTTGGTGGAGACGTCGTCTTCATTTCCACTATAAATACACTAATTTACGAGTGTTCCACTGGTCATTAGCATCAAGTCACTTGAAGAATGAATTGTTACAAATTAACGTCTTTCTCAAAACACCGCACTTTTGTAGCGTAGGCGTCATTCAATTGCTAGACAGGCAAAAAAAATAGTTTTCCTTGCCTGAGAAGCTTTTGTGGGGGAATGACTGGCCTTTTGAAGGTTACTCTGCTGTCTCTTTCTGTCTGTTTCACTATTCTTTGCGATCTCATCATGTGCAGCACGACAAAAACTGAAGCGAGCATTTGAAGTTCAGTAACACCTAACTAGTGTCAGTGCTTTTGTGCTTCTGCCTTTCTCTCAGAACACCTTTGGTGATTTCATTCGATAGCCACTGCAGTGACCGTTATCACTTGAAACTAGTCTTTACTCAATTGATTGACTAATTTGACGCTTTTTCAGGCAAGTGCTACTGCTTACGGCTTACTGCTTACTGGGCAGCAGATACAGTAAAGTGCTCTTCTGTCCAATGACACTACCATATAGAGAGTTTGAGTTTCCTCAGAGAGGAAAGCGACTATGATCACACTTCGCAAACTGAAGACCTTCTGGTAGTTGCGCCATTTCTCAGTTTCTTTATTAATAGACACAGAGGCCTGACAGTGCACAACTCCTCTGGCGAGTGAATCATATTTCCTGCCAAAATGCTGGTGAGACTCCTAATTTGCAAACTGCAATTGTTGTACGCTAAGGAAGCAAACCCTAAGCATCGATGACGAGGAGCACAACTCTCCTTTAGGGAATTAGTAGTGCCGGTGATACTTTTAAGTACTTATAAGAAGCAACTTACTGTTTATATGATTTATTTACTTCCATTGTGTTTCCTTTTTAATTAAAACTATTTCTAAAGTTGGCAGCTGACAGATCTGGCCGTGATTTCAGAAACTGATCTAATATTGCCGAATCATTTCCTACCCGGCACTGCTGCTAATCGTTGATCGATGGCAAGTATTCTACTGAGATGTTCAATCGATTTTGTTCTATCTTAACTTATTGAACGCCAGTGAACACTCAGTAATGGTGGAGCCAAGTAATCGTGTAATTTATTATGTCATTAGATAGGTTGGTGGACAGTGAAAAGCAAATTGAGACTGTCACTAGA